GGATAGACACCTTCCTGAATTTTGTTTTGCCTATAATACCGCCGTACATTCTTCTTCCCTCGTTTCTCCCGCATTCCTCAATTTTGGTCGAAACCCTCGTCCCATCCAAAACCTCCGCCACGAGATTAAATCGGATTCCTTAATAACTCCCCGAAATCCCCAAGAATGGTCCAACCGCATTTCCCGCTTAACCCTTTTATACGATATAGTTCACAGAAATCTAGAAAAGGCTTCCTACCGCCAAGCTTCCTATTATAACCAAGGACGTCGTGACGACCGTTACCAAATTGGTGACCTCGTCATGAGACGCCAACGAATTCTTTCCTCCGCCGCCCACAGTTTTGCATCCAAACTAGCCCCGAAATTTTCAGGTCCCTACACAATCTCCAAAATCCTTTCCCCCGTAGTTTATGAACTAAAAGGTCCCGACGGAAATACCATTCCAAAAGTTCACATCAAGGATCTTAAACCCTTCCGACCCCCTCCAAACTTTGACGACGCAAGGTCCGAAAACCTTTCAATAAGTCAAGATGTTAATGATATTTCACAACCAGGACCTTCCTCACGACCCCTCGACATTCCCACCCGACCAACACCCCATCCAACACCCGCACAAACTCCCCCTTCCACGCCTATCCCCGCTCTGCCTCCTCGCCGAGGACGGGGAAGACCCCGGAAAATCCCAGCACCCCAACACGTTCCACAGATCATACACACACCACCCGCTCCTGCTCCACTCCCCCGCCGAGGGTGCGGGAGACCCAGGAAAATCCCGATACTCTCGGACAACCAGCAAAATACAATTCCTGTACCCATCCCTACTCCACCCCCTCGTAGAAGACGAGGGAGGCCCCGGAAAACCCAAGTACTCCCAAATCCCACACAAACCATACCCTTCCAACCACATCCCCCTCAACCACCTCGTCGAGGACGAGGACGACCCCGAAAATACCCCCTTAACCCCCTAACGAACGTAATCCGAACGGAACAACCCTCCATACCCCCCCTCATGTCCTTACATATTCCTCGACCTACAAAACTCCCAACAACCAACAAATATCAAACCCCGAAGAGGGGTAACAAATTTGGCGCACAATCCTCGGAAAACCGGGGAACGAATAATGACTAATAAAATGAAATAAAATTTTGTTTTTTCATTCTCTCCATACGCGGGCGGTAAGTGACGATAATATGGATTAAAGACAATAATAGCCCACCCCCACTAGCGTCAACCCTAATAAGAGCCCACCGGAAAACCCCACTAACCTAAATGCCCCCCAACAGATATGTTCGCGTCAAGGAGAGGAGGACGAGGCCGGGGCGCCAGGGCCCGGGCGAGGAGGCCGACGCCGCGGAGACCGCGGCTATGTCGGGGCCAACCACCGGCGCAGACGGCGAGCGTGGCCGTTCAGACGGACTCCGAGGAGTCCGACTATATTACACCACCCCTAACCCCCACTCCTCCTCCTACACCACCCACCCCCCGAACTTCCCCCGTCAGCCGCACCCTCAACCCCATCCCAAATCGCCACTCCCCCCACCGCCCTACCCACCATCCCCTCACCCTACAAGCCCCAGATAAAAAAAACTACTAGCAGCCCTCCGCCGTATCCCCACCCCTACCCCAGTCCCGCATCTCATCCCTTCCCCCCGCACGAGCACCCCCGAAGACCCTCACCTGGCCGAACTGCGGGCAGCAGCGGCCCGCGTGAGGGCACAGGAGGGCCCAACCCAACCCTCCACCGCGACCACACCAACGCACACCCCATCCCCCTCACACCCCTCCCAAACAGTGGCAATATACCCACTGGTATCCCGTCCCACATCCCCAGTATCCCCCACCCGAGCCCGCTTCCACCTTTTTGAATTATATCCCCTCCCACCTCAAACCCCAACACGTACCCAATCCCCCGTAATACCCCCCCTGATATCCCTCCGCATCCCACCACCACCCCTAATGTCCCTCCGAATCCCCAAGCCCCGTAATCTCCCCTAAACTTTCCTCCTTCCCTTTTCCTCCCACCTCACGCGCACCCCGACACCCCATAACCCAACTCTCCCTTAAAGGACAATGACCATTTTTTTTTTATCTTTATTTTGGACGACCGACCCGTACAAGGACAGACGGACGAACGGACGCGACAAGGACTAACCCCCCCTTTCCAAGCAATCTAAGAGGACCCTCCTCACCCCAATCCTCCCCTAACCCTCACAAAACAAAGCTCAGTACAAAGTCCGCGAGGAAAATCAGGTAAAAGACTTATACAAAATTCCGCCCCAGAATGTAACCCCCCTTCTTTTGTTCGGCCAGATGTTAATTCGTTTCTTACAGGTTCAGCTTAAAACCAACCTCACCAGAGGAACGGCAACAGGAGGGTCGCTCGCGTCCGCGACCCCTCCCCCTGAATGAGAGCGCAGCATGGAAGCGTGAGTGACCGCGACAACACCACGACTGTACGCCCTCTCCTCGCAGTTGTTGTTTCCCTTTCTCTTCCCTTTCCCGGTGCATCTACCGTTTCCGGTCAAGGCGGGGGGGTGTTGTAACGTGGTGACACCCGTGCCCCCCGTTACAATCGCTGCGCTTTTCCCATTTTACTATCCCACCCCAAAACCACCCGTAACCCTTCCCTCATCTAACCCTTTCCCCCTGCTCACCGGTGGCGGGCCGATGGAGGCGACGGAAGACGTACGAGGAATACCCGCAGAAGGAGCTACGAGGCCGGCGACAGACCTCTACCCTTCCTCCAAGGAAACGGAGCAACATGGGACTCCGAAGAAAATAGACGAAGCTGCCCAACTGATGCAAAACGTCCACCCGGAGCCATCTGTCGCCGAGCCCGAAGACCTCAGCCCACCCGTCATCGCGGGATATCCGCCAGCCCCATCGACCCCGAGCACCGGTGTATCGAAGATCGATAATCGATCTATCCCGTTGCGGAAGAGGGCCCCCTTCCTAGTCCCATCCCCTCCCCAAAACCATCCCGCGACGGTTTCGTCGTCGCAGCAGCGACGGCGAACCGTCAATTGAGCCTGAGGCTACGCGTTAGAGAGAGTATCGAGAGCGAGAGTGTAAAATTTTGCGAGAGCGATCAAGCGAGAGAGTGCGAGGAGATTCGGGGTGAGTCCCTTATCGTAATTATTGTATTAGCGAGATCGAGGCAACGGCTATTTTCTCCGCCCGCGCATTGTTCGACATAGAGACGAGTCCCCCTTTTAATTTTCCAACCACAAAGTTTTCCTCATTCGCGTAACGTAGACGAACTTTCCTGCGAACCCCTTCCGACCCTAGAGATTTCCCTTCCCACACTAATCCTCCTTGCGTACTCCCCCGCGAAGTATTGTACGGACGTAAGTGCCCCGAGACCTATCCCCTGTAAGACACCCACAACCACCCCCCTTTCCCCTTTTTTTTGATCCTAATCGCCACAGCGAGTGGCTGGCGCCCAACGTTTGTGAGAGAGAGAATATTGTAAAGTAGAGTCTGCGAAGAGAATCCGGTATAGAGTGAACCCCCGGAAAGGGTCACAATTGAAATATTATTTCTGTATTTGCTGGTATAATATCCTTGCCAGTTAATTATTTTCCTGGGAAGCTGATTTAATTTCAACTTTAACTTTAACTTATTCTATTCATTTCATTTTATTTTATTTTATTTTATTTCATTTTAATTTTATTTTATTTTATTTTATTTCATTTTAATTTTATTTTATTTTTACTTACTCTTCAGGTGATAAATTAGATTCTGAATTTGTCTGGTCAGGGAATGGCTACTCTCATTGTAATATAAGAAGTTTGATTCTGATTCTGAAATTTGTATTTTAGGATCCTTATACTTTAGGTTCCTTAATGGCTGCGCTGTGTTGCTGCATATTACACGGCGCAGCCCCCCCCCCCCCCCCTGTTGCTCTATTATCTGCTGGTGGTCCGCATTGCGGTATCATTGCCATGTGGTCTTAGGGAATTCAATTAGTATCTGTATCGGTATTTGTAACTGGATCTGGATTGTCCTGCAGACTACGGAAGTTACGTAGAGTCTGATTTGCGCACTGTGGTACAGCACTCTCCACTCACTTAATGCACTAAATATGCTGTTATTACGGACCGTACAATATTTACAATATCTAGGTTACAGTATCTTAACTTCAATCTTATAATTAATCTATATAATTGCATTGATTCAATTCAGTACGTGAGCTCTATATGTTGTACCAGGGTGTATGCGGATCCTATTATTTAATCACGGTCAATTAATTTCCTGGTGTTGGGATCTGGGGGAACCTAGACTGGAATTCATTCGCTAATGTTCTATTTCATATCAATTATGGGAATACATCGGTTTCAAAATCCAATTTCATTCAATGGTGATTACAGTATATTGAAGTATTGTTCTGTATAATTTTCTTGTGCAACATCCTTGCCACTAATTACTTATTCTTTGGTGATGCTGATTCAATTTCAACTTTAAATTTAACTTAAAATTTAAATTTAAATTTAACTTATTTTATCTTATTCTTATTCTTCAGGTAACGGAATTGGAGTTTGATCTTGTTTGGTTAGGGAGTGGCTACTCTATTTGTAATGTAAGACAAGAAGTTGATTCTGGAATTTACATTTTATATATTTTAGGTTGCTTAATGATTACGCTGGGCTGTGCATCTAACATGGCACAGCCCTTGCTGCTCTATCTATTTATTTACCGACGATCCGTATTATTGCGCGGCATTATTGCCATGCAGGCTTAATGAATTCAATGGGCATCTGGATCTGGATCGGGATTTGGATCATGACGCTACAGACTGTGGGAGTTATGGAGTTACGTAAAATCGGATTGCGCATTGTAGTATTGCGTTCTCCACTCACTTGACGCATCAATGACGCATTCATGCGGCTACGACGGTACAGTACAGTTCAATATTTGTTCAATATTTATTCTACGGTAATTGAATCTTATAATTAATATAATTGCATATAATTACATTGACTGAGGTTACTCTGTGAGCTCAATATGTTGTACCGGAGCGAATTCGGATCCCATCATTCACCGACGGGCAGTTAATTTCCTGACGCTTGGGACTCTGGGGGGCTTGGACTGAAATCCAGCCACCAACGATTTATTCCACATCAATCTTCAGAATACATTGATTTCAAATTCAGTTTCAGTTAATATTAATTATAATATATTGATATATTGACATATTATTCTTTCAATTATTTTATTTTTTCCAATCCTCTGAACCCTACGATTTCGCTGTGGCGCGTTTTCAACACCAGTCTTCTTATTCGCAACTGGCGGTCCGGCTGGGTCGGTGGGCGGTCGCTGATTGTACTTTCTTACTGCTTATACTGCTTTTGGTGGCCTACCTTGGTTTTGGCCTTGGTTTCTTTCGTACTGAAGATGTCTCACCCACACAAATGCCTATGTGGTATCTGCTTACAATAATCCTATTACGAATACGTTAGCGTTACGGCCATTACTTGCCTATCTCTGTTATTAAGTCTTAGTTGTGGTACGGTGTCCGACTAAGTCGTGCGGCTGGCGGCGGACCCAACCAATCTGCTGCTTTACTTATTACTGGTTGCTTACTATTTCGGTATACCGCTCGATGGTCAGCCCATTTCTTGTGGCATTTGGGTGGGAAGAACCATCAACGAATTGTACCTTTAAATTAGCCTTAAATCCACGCTGCAGTAATGAGATAGCAACCTCGACTATCGGATTCCTGTGGAATTCCTATTAACTTAATACATGTCAATTCACTGTTTAATTCATATGCTAGCACATATACTCACATTATGCGTGCATTGCATTGGGTGCGCTTGCTGCGCATTATGCTTACAAATGCATTCACACCTATTCCATACTTCCCGTTTGCGTTTATCACTACCCTCTCCCTCTCCTTCTTAATTCGCACAAGGTTTTGCGATATCATGCTCACATTTGCTTGGTTCACCGCGGCCATTGGCTGTGGTGACCGGCTGTTATAGTTATTATCGATTATCTGTACATTTCCTTTCCTTTTCTTTCCTTCTTATATTGTTATGGTATTCTACGCTTTAGGCGGGCTGCTGGTTCAGTTGCCAGTTTAATGGACGGATTGAGATGGGTAGTATTACCTGAAGGGATGTGACGTCCTTAGGGTGGCGATTGAATAGTAATAGACGACATTAATATTAATATTAACATTCCTGACCATGAGCGCTGACGGATGATTCTGCCTTGATGAGTGATAGGGGTGTATTATCAGACTGAAGGGGCAACACCTTCCTTCCTTTGTGCTGGACCATGCAGGGGTGGGCGCATCTGTGTACGGTTGTGATTTAGATACGAGGTCGGATCCAACTGTGGATCTTAGACTTGTGGATTATTCATTGTAACCTGGTTCGAATCACCTAACGCTTGCCTCATTGATTGGCTGATGGTGGCTTCAGTTTGCGGTGAACTCCCGTTTTGTTGGCGCCAGTTGAGAATGGGTCTCGGCTGACGGCTCGGCGATCGGATTTCTTTCGTCATGATCCGATATTGCTGATGCACTTGTCTTATCTATGGCGGAAATGGATTATCCTACTCGGTTGCTTAGGCTACTCATCTGCTTTTACTTACTCATTTACTTATCTGCGTACTGCCCATCTACGTTTACCTTATGTTATCTCGCTTTATTAGGCACGACATGTTATTTATACATCTACAAACTAGCCGACATGAGCGGATGACTGTCTGTTCGCTTGATTCGTGCTGCTAACGGCTGCTGGTCTGCTTATTTTGGCTCAGTGCTTGCCTATCACACATATCCACCCGTATCCATTTTATTTTATCTTATATTCAATTTAATTGTTTCAATTCATTGAATTAATTTAACTATTCTCTGCCTGGTTGGGTGATGTTTGTCCTCGACTTGCACTGTGCTGCGGGCGGCTTGTATTGCCTCGCGGAGGGATCCGTTGGTTAATATTATCTCTGTTAGATGGTGCCACGTCTCCTTCCTGCGGGGCTGCGGCCGGCTGGATGGTTGGGATGTCGTACATATGCGTCTGGTGGCGGGATTGGGTGACTGTTTGCGGGGGACGTTTGTATGAGGACCCTCATAGATGGCCCTGTAAGCTCGCTGCACGCCCAATTTTCGTTGTCGCGCTGGGCACCTGGGTAGGCGTAAGAGGGGGGACTGTACCTGTCTGGCACCTGTTGAACTGGGATCGCCATTTGCCTGTCCTTGCCACCTGCTGGGTGGGTGACTGTGTGCAGCTGTGTCCGGCCGATCGGCCGGAGTAGCCCTTTTTGGCTTGCGACTGTGCGTTATCTTATGGTTTATGTTAGCAACCTGATTGGTCGTCCCTGTATGGTCGTGCATTTGTATCGTATTACCTGACCTCGATTCTAATTCTGTTATGACTTATGCTTTTGCCTCGGTTTCTTTGACCGGATCTTACTTCCATTTGAACTATTTAATTATTATACTCAGTATTACTTGATTCAATCGGTTTGGATTTATCCCATTTTGTTGAGCTGATTGTCGTATTGGCTGCCGTCGGTGTCGATTCCGATCCCGGTCTCGGTTTCGACTTCGATTCGGATTTCGTTCTGATGCCGCTTTCGGCCTTGAGTTCGATCTTGATTCCGGCTTCGTTTCCGATTTTGAGATTGAGTCCGGTATGATTCTGGCCTGGGTTTGGCCTGGGTCTGATAGTAGTCGTGTTATATTTTGACATATTTATTTTGACTGGTCTGACTCTGGTCTGTGTCGTGCTCGATTCTTACTCGGATCCATTCCTTTCATTTTATCTTATTCCAGCCATTTTATCTTGCCCTTAATTTATTTATTCCGTCTTACCTGTTTTTACTTGTTTCAAATTCCCACTTAACTACTTATTCAGTGTAATTTAGCATTTAGTCTAACTTAGTTACACTTCGGCCCACTTTATTCTAGTGCTGTGGCTTTGCTATTGATCCCTACTTTTCTGCGTGTTATCACAACTTTTGGTTTCGACATGCATGCGTGATGAGCGCGCGCGCTTGGTCATAACCCCCTTAAGTGCCCTGTTATGGGCCGACGCCTTGTTATTTCCTGTTAGAGCTGTGTTGCCTTTTCCGGGACTTTGGGATCTCAGGTCAAATTGCGCTTGGCTGGGCGGCGCCAACGACCTTGGCTTGTTGAGCTCGACCGCTGGCTGGACGACCGGTTTATGGGTCACTCGGCCCTATCTGATAACTTTGATTAATTCTTTTTCCCCCCCCTTGTTCTGAGTCTAGTTAATTCGTTATAATTAGGAGTCAGGAATTGGGTGCGCTATATTTAGGTAACTATAATCATTAATTGCTTATCTTAGGTATTTCTATGTATTACATTCTATGTGGGAAGGTCCCCAATCTCACCACGGGGTGTTGCAAGTATTTAGGTTACTACGAGGTTGCTCTTATTCAAACAACAGCCTAATCGTATACTCGGTCCGTTTCAATTGTAATCTTCGATTAGCCTCATTAATCTCGACCTGCTTTCGATCTTACTCGGAGCGACACTGGCTTTGATTTAACCAGTTATAGGTTGAACCGATTCGCCATAACTTTTTATTAGGAATTCCCGCGATTGGAAACTTGGATTGCTTTTGGGCTCTGTCCCCTTTGTTTTTGCGTAAGCTCAGAATTGTTCAGTTGGGGTGGCCTGCTACCTCGGACGTGGCCATGGAGGGGGCAATTCCATTCTCATCTCCATCTTGCTGGGGCCAAGGTGCATTTGATACTCGTCTTTCGGTCTTTGATTAAGGTCGATTGGCTCCGGGACCGGCCGATGCTGAAAGGCAATGGCGTTATAATATCGCTTTTGTACGCAGACGCTTGCGCCATTCGTTACGGGATTATATTACGTATGTTTACATTGAAACTGCGGTCTCGTACCCTGCTGTGCTTCTTTTCTGCCATAATTCAATGCTCTCGAGGGCCTTGTCCCGGGTCACTTGGTTATCGGTTCGTTAATCGCTAATCCCGCGGCGGGCGGTTGGCTCAGGGTCGATGATCTTGGGCTGGACTTGTCTTAAACGAAGTGGTTATCGATATGGCTTTGTCGGTGTATGAGATTGAACCGTGTTCGTATTGGTGTTGATCTTGGCCTTAGTCATCGGCCGGTTTATTGGATGCAATCTTAATCTATAATTACAACCTACTTAACTTAAATGACTTGAACCGGGTCTGAGTGGATTCTGCGTGGGTCAACTGCCATGGTCATGCGATGCGATGCTGCAAGTGATGACTGACGAATGCCTGAAATCTTCGTTTCCTGCTTCTACTTGAATCATCATTGTCGCCACTCATATTATATTATATATTATGCATGTACATTCATACATTTGTAATAGGACTCTGACTGGGTATTCTGAACAAACATCTGATTCCGTTGGATTCTTGCCGATTTATCTATCTATCTATCTACCATTTTGTATCGGTATGTTATTTTACGTTATTGTTGGTGTGCGTACAGCGCTCGCTGCTGTGCTGTCTGACTGGCCGCCAATTTAAGTGACGGATAGGCTCATCTGAGCGGCTTACGGCTGGCGCTGGCGTGCAATGTTTATCATAGTTTTGGTCTCTATTATTGATAGTAATATTATCAATGGGGGGGTTCAATGACCAATTGTAGCTAATATTACATTTATATTTTACATTTTTCATATTTTATTTAATTTAACTTCGTTTTGAATTCCAACCTGATTCAATCTGGCTTCTCGGGGGGTTCAGGGTGGTTAATCACAATTGCGGGAGGTTGATCTGTGTACTTGGAGATCATGATATGGTCTTATGGCTGTACCGTGGTGGCTACTTACTTATCATTGTGCGGTTGTGGTACGACTGCTTTTATGCATTCTCTTCAGCTCCAGCACCTTCAGGGACTATAGAATATTGCATAATTGCTGGTGGCTGGTTTCTGATGTTTGGCGGGCTACCCTTTGCCTGTCTGTGGATCTGCGGGCGGCACGGGCACTGCAGTGCTACGGACGGCCCTGGGCGGAAGGGGGAGCCTGATAAATTTCAGTGATTTATGGTAGAGGCTGCGGGCACAGTTTCTTAGACGGATGCTTATTGTGCTCGGTCTAATGGGGGTCTGACCTAAGAATTTTAGAAGTTCAAGGCTCTTAAAAGGCTATTTTGGGAAGATGACTTGGACATGTGCAGGCACTTATCTGATTATTTATTGACGCTCTTACCGTGCCGCTTTAGGATTTAGGGGCTCGAGTTGCTTTTCTCAGTTTCCCTAGCTCTTGCTGCCTAACTTTTGGCTTCAAGTCATATGCGGGCCATCTGTTTCATATTTGCATTTGTATTCATTGCCCATTTGGCGGTTCCCTGCCGCTAGCGAATTGCATTTGAACTAATTCATCCTGGCTTGACTTCATGTTGTGTGCTGCTATGTTTGTCCTGTTCTCATTCCATTCCATTTCACTTCGGCCGGGTTCGGATCTGATTTAATACCTCAACTCTGTTTTACGGTGATTCCATTCCTTAGTTTAGATTAATTTTGACTACTGATTCCAATCAGCGCTTTCAGGCCATTCTGTCCTATTTGGTGTGATTTTGTTTATGTTGACTTTATTTCGGTTATTTTATGTTATTTTGCTGGCTCAACGACTAAGGGTGTATTTTGAATAATTAACTCTGTCCTCGCCTGACCGCTGATATATCCTGTTCTCTCCTTTTGTCTGCGCAGAAATTGGGGAGCTCTTGAGCAATTCTTCGGCTTCCTTCCATTCCATATTAGCCTCACTTTACTTTACAATCCTTCCTGGCCACGTGGGGCGCATCTGTCGGCGCACCCTTTATGGCGGGGCCTGCCTGATTCGTCATACTCTTGTATTACTGCAATCATGTATTTGTGTGTCCCTGAGGCCTGCATCATTATTTCCTGGATCCTCCCTGCTTGACTGCGGGCCATTTCCTATCCACTGCTCTATCTATTTCAAATACCTATCTATCTCTTCTACTTGTCTGCGGTCTCTGGGCGGGTTGACGTATGGTCGGCTGAATTAGC